GGGACTAGGTAACGGGCTCTGCAAGGCCTGAAAGAAGACATCCGGCCTCCCACCAAAGGAGAGGGGTGTAGAGATAAGGATCCCGGCCCCAACCAAGCAAACAGCCCACAGTCCGGAAAAGGGTGGGGCCGGCCAGGGCGGCGGAGTGTGGGCCGCGGGCACTGCAGCAGTCGCACTCCCTTCCCCCCGCGCCCTGGCACCCCCGCCTTTCGTCCAGCAGCCGCCTGCGCTGCGCTGCGGCCCGGCTGCCTGAGGCTGGAAGACGGCGACGGCCGCAGGGCCCGGCCAGGTGCAGAGGCTTGGCTGGGTAGTGCTGTCTGGGCTGGGTCTCAGCAGGTCTCCAGGGATAAGAGCCGTAAAAGGGACAAGAACCTAATGATCTTGAATAGGGCGGGGAAAATCTTGAGGAGGGCAAGAGAGACGAGGGAACCCTCTGAGCGGCTGCGGGAACGGGGATGCCCAGGAGCAGCAAAGGCGCGAGTGGCACTAGAAGCGAGGAGGGGCTTTGCTACTCGGGAGAGCCACTGCTGAGTTAGTACTGCTCTTGCAGCAAGGAAGAAGTCAAGATTCTGTGGAAGGATCGGGATCTGGGCATGCGGAAAGGCAGGGGGCGGGAAGGCGGGGAGAGTGGACAGTCGGTCCCAAGAGACAAGCGGCTAGCCGGGCGAGCGGGGAAAGTCTGGGCGGGGCCCATTGTACCAAGGTGGGGAGCTGACTTTAGGGATAGGGATGAAGAGCCCTATAACTGAGGGGCTAGAAGGGGGCTGTGCTGCACTGAGGATGGAGGGTGGTCGCTCACCCAGGCAGGTAGCTCTCGATGGCTCATGTAGAGTGTTTTAGCCGTGAGCCGCTCCTCGTCGTCCAGCAGCAGCCGCGCTACGCGAAGGCTCCGTTCTTTCTCGTCGCGGACCCGGCGCCAGCCGAGGTAGAGGGCGAGGCCGAAGAGCACGAAACCCACGCTGAGTCCCATAGCCCCGGCCAGGTACACCGGCACCAGCACCAACAACCGCCGTCCAAACGAAGTCAGCACCGCCAGGGCCTCACCCGCCGCGCCTGGGCCGGTAGGTTGGTTCTCAGAACTCAGGTCCGGCTTTGTGTGATCAGTAGGGGACTGGTCAGGGGGGTCGGAGGGAGCAGAAGGCTGGTCTGCGGGGCTGGGACTGGGGCTGGAGCCGTCTCCAGGAGAGCGCTCCATGGTGCCACCTCTGGGAGTAGCCGTCTAACCCAAAGACCCGCTCTGCACGTTGCCTAGTCTTAAGACCCGCTCCCCCAGCACAAACCGTAAACCCCAAAATAGGGGAGGGGACTTCAGGACACGCCCTTTATTTCTGACGGTTTGGGTTGGTCCGCGCCGCATAGACCAAGGTGGAGTCAAAAGATTGAAACCCCGCCCCTCTCCCTCCGGGAAGGGAGAGGGCTCCGGGGAGGTAGGACCTGATTGGACCAGAGTGCCAAAAAGGGAGGTCTGGGATGGCGGGAAAAGGAGGAAAGAAGCTAAAGAGCAGCATTGGATTGGCCAAAAAGAGAAGACGGCGTGGTGTACCATTTAAAGGGGAGAGGCGGGACCAGGAGTTCCCCCACGTGGGATTGGAGTGCTTGTGGTATGACGTCAGGCAGAGCTGCATTGGTTTTAGAGGGAGCTGTAATTGCAAAGTTAAGGGATGGTGGAGGGTCAGGATTCCCTTCCACTCCATTTGGTTTGGCAGGATTTGGTCTGAGATTCCTACATGTTCATTTGTCTGTTTCCCCGTTTTCATATTCTAAGCACATTCCTTCAATTTTTCTTTTCCTGGCTGTCCTTACAATAGGAAAGGAAATTACCCTATTTGGAATGAATGTGTTCCATAACCGACCCTGCCTATCCTGTCCCCAGTCCTTTACCTTGTCTGTACAGTGTAACGACAGACACTTGAGAAACCTGGAGAATATGACAATTACAGAGTTGATAAAACCCAACCTTCAGGGAAGGGGGGGGAATCAGAGTGACTAGGAAGTGAGGCTTTATTTTTTAGAAATCCCCAAGAATTAGTCCATTCTATCACAGAGGGCAGATTAAAACTAAATCAGCTCCAAAAGGGGGTAGGGGGCTCAGCTGCAGCAGAAATAATTACATTTTCCAAGATTTTTCTGATCCTGACTACTAGGACACTAAAACGAGAAACCAAGAGTGGTGAGACGACTCCGTTTCTCATTTGCCTGAGTTAGAAGATTTGGACAGTCAGATGTAGACCTAATGCAGTTACACGTGTGTAGGGAAAAGTGCAGGGTACACTGATCATGACCATTGTTATTAGTTAACTGGACTTAGAGGTGGAGTGTTGTCCCAGGACTTAGAAACTAGACTAACTGGAAGCCCAGGAGGGAAAGGTTGGTCATAGATGATTACCTTTTAATGCAGTATTTGTGGGGCTTATTGTATTACTCTGATGCAGCAGGGGAACTAGGGAGAGACTACATCTGCAGCTAATAAATTTTACCTGGCTCTGCAGGGCATAGATTTCTTCAGGCTGTGCTTCATCAAAGCTGCTTAAAATCTATCCCTGCCCAGCCTTCCTCCCTTAACCTCGAATTTTCTCACTTCCCTTTCTCTACTTTCCTGAGGCTAACAGTATTTAGACTGCTTCATTCAGTTTGCAGAACAGTATAAGGAACATTTTTCTATCTCCCTCCTATGTCCTTCATATTTTGAGGTTAGCAGAGAGAAATGCAGCTCAAGGAATTTGGAGGAGGTAAGAGTGATCTGCTCGCCAACTGATGAAGCAGAACTATAACAGAAAAATGGATGAACTTCCTTAGAAGGGAACCTCTCTGTAAATTGAAATTTGCCAAGCACTTAGGCTGGGAAATAGGGTAACCTATAGAGGTTCCTTTCCAAACTTCTCCACTTTCTCACCCCATCTAGCTCATCAGACCCTCTTACTGAAGACAATATATGGGGCGCAAAAAGCTCATCCTCAGGAATGTCTCTTCCCAGCTGGGTCCCAGGAGCCACACAATCAGTAGCTGCAATGCACCAGAACCAGTAAACAGGGCGGGTCCCTACCCACTGACAATTCTGCTGCCCAGGTGCCACCTGGTGGTGATAAGCAGTAAAATGGGTAACCGGAAAAAGGATGGCCATTTGTTAGAAGAAATGTCTAATGAGCATTTCCTGGATTCGCAATCTGCATTTATATATAAACTACGATTGCCTCCTAAGGGTCGAAGGCAGTAATCTGGCCCCAGACCACTCTCCAAGATGGAAGGGGCAATAGGACTGGAGATTTCCTTTGTATTATTCCTAGCAAGTTACAGCAAATAGTGGTCCCATTGTTGGATGGCTCTATCATTAGAACTTTTTTATACCGAGTCTGGAGTCAGACTGCCTGAATAGATTCCTGGCTCCATTCCTTACTAGCTGTGGAAGCCTGAGCTGATTTATCTCTTTAAGCCTGCTTTCTCCTCTGCAAAATAGTTACAATACTACTACTCATCATGTCAATGAGATATTGCATGTAAACTGCCTTGCACAGTGCCTTACCTTCTGTTAAGTACTCAGTAAATGTTAGCTATTATTCTAGAATTCCCTGTTTATTTCCTATGCAGCAAGACAGGGCCTTTTCTCCATTGGGCAGCCCTTTAGATATTTGAAGACATCTATTGGTTCTCCCCTCAGTCTTCTCAATTTTTCTTTCAGCTGACCCCCTAGTTTGTCAATGGCCCTTTTTAAAAATTACATTTAGAAGAACACACAAATACTTTAGGAGTGGTTCCACTCAGACAGACATGGAGGAACTGCTATATTTACAATGAATGACTATGGCTCTGTTACCCTGATGGAGCTCCTAGAACATAGCAGGCTCTCAGTATTTATGAATTGACCTAAGGACTAAGATTTTAATTTGTAGCCAATTGGGAGTCCCAGGTTGTTCTCATTTGAATTATTGCTAAAGTAGATCTCTGCATTTGTTCCTTAGACAGGCTCAAGCAATTTTTTAGGGGGAGGGTCAATCCAAATTGATCCATATTGACCCCTTGGATTAATTTAGTCAATCTAAGTTACATACACTTTCAATATTACTTAGTACTTGTGTTACTGTTGATAACAGAGCTGTTCATATTTTTATACAAGCTTTTTTTAAAAAATAAAACATAGCCCTTGGGTATATCACTAGAGACTAGAAATTTCTCTAACATGAATGCACTAATCAACATTTACTAGGCACAAATGTTGTTTGGATTCCACCAAACTCTACTGCTAATTGACCCATAATTATTCTTTTATCTGTAATGACTTAGCCGGTGAGAAAGAGGAAAACAGCTCCTAACATCTGGGAACTGGCCTGACAGAGGAAGGCTTTGTTTGGAGTTGTTGGGGGCTGACCTGGGCTCACAGGTAGGAAATGGTGCTCTCCTGTTGAACACAGTCTAACAAAACAGCAACATAGGACAAGGGCACTCAGTAACTGTGATGAAGTGAGGCAAAAAACAAGATCACTTCACAATTTTGTTTAAGCACAAAACAAGGTGAGTGTGCAAACCACAAAATAGCAAACATCCCCCTCGCCCATCTAAAGAGTGACTGGTGCTTCATTACCAATTAAGAGCTTGCTTCACTCTAGTCTGCCCTTTTTATAGATAAGATAAAGATACCCAATCATAGAATTATCCCTGCTTTCCTGACAGCACCCAATCCAGAGTGAAGCCTCACTTCCTTAAACCTTCCCCCAAATCAATTAATCAAAGTCCAAGTCCTGTAACTCCTTTCTAACACCCTCTTGCTGAGCCACCATGGTTCCCCCTGGCATGCTCTCTCCATCACTGCAATGAGCATTAAGCCCAACTACAGTTGTATTCCTGGTAGTCTTCAGCTAGAGTATATTAATAACGGACATATAATTTGTACAGTTTCCTAAATCTACCTCTTTAGAGATACTTGGCAAAAAGAAAATAAAGTTAGTGTGTCAGCATTTGGCTGGGACAAATTCATGTTGGCATCTATGATCACACTTGTCTCTAAATGCTCATAAACTCTCTCTTTTAATAATCCAGAATTGTGCCAGAAAACCAACAGTTAGCTTATCAAGGTGTGGTTTCTAAAAAATGCACAAATAATATTTCAGTATTTGCCCATTTTTAGTCTTTAGACCCTTTTTTTCCGACCGGCCTTGACCTAGCCCATCATCTTCCAAATCCAGGTATAACCTGAGTGATTAACCGGACATGAGAACAGGAGGTAGCAAGAGATATATTGGGGGGAGAACAACCCAGGGTCACTTTCTCTACCCCCAAATCCACTGTCCCATTAGAGTAGACAGCTGAATTGTTTCCCCTATATCAGCCATGAACTGAGGAACTGAGGTTTGGCTATTGGGACCCTCAGCCTTACTGATTCTTAATTGGGTTTAAAACCTCTGTGGTCCTATGTGGAAGCAGAGGGAAAAAAGGGATGAACCCTGAGAATCGTGTCCCAGAACTCTCCTTTTCTCAGCACCTCCCAAGCCTTGAAGCCTTAAGGCATTCGTAACTGAGGAATGGATGGGATAGGAAGGGCATGAACTGCCATCAATAACTAACAGAGTAACCGCCACCACCCTGCTCTATTTGAATAAGGGAAAGATCTGTCAATACATATCCCATTTCCGTTTCCCAGCACATCCACCCTCCTTAGTACCTGTCTCCCTAAATGACCCTAGGAGCCCTGGTTACTAAGGCAACCTGGGAACAGTACATGCAGATAGAAACCAGAACAGATGGGACTATTTTTAAACTAGACTAAGTGGCTCCAATGCTTTTACCCCACAAAGTGCCTTCCCCAAAGTCCCATTTGGTCTTGTTCTGGGTCCCTACCCTTCTTCACTGGCCTGCGTCCCACCTTATTCAAGTTCTGTGAGCATGGAGTCTTTATCCCATTTTGGCATGACATCTATTTACTGCTCCCATCTTCCACACAGGATATCTAAGCAAGTTTTCACTGCCTCCGTTTGTTAAAAATAATTGTTTTTTTATTTCTTTGGAAAGTGGTGGGCCCTGCCTTATGGATTTCCAGGCCAAGCCAAGGTCATGAATGCTCCCCTAGTCTTTGGGCTGGAGTACTATGGTCCCCGCCTTCCCACGGGCCCAGGAGCAGTTCCTGTATTGTCCAACTTAACTGGGTCCCAAATTGTCTGAAGGCTCCTATCAGGCCTTCTAAGCTCCTGGTCACCCACTTCCCAATCTTTCCTGGCTTTCCCTCTGGGTGGGATATTTTTTTCTTCCAAAGCCAGTGCTGGAACCTGTGCTGTGCAGAAGAGAGGACAAGACCAGGTATGTCCCCAACTTCCCATCAGGGGACATACAGCCCCTCAATCAGTCCTTCCTCTCTGCTGGCTTCAGTCTGCACTCCTATGCAAGCCCCCTCTGTGAGGCTTGAAGGAAGATGGACAAGAGGACCCTCATAAAAGGGAGGTGAGAGAAAACCCACCAGCTCAACCCCTTCTCAGAAGCAAACTCCTTGTAGTCTCTTGTCCTAGTTCTTGAATGAGCCCTTCAGACAGGGCTTGAGAGAGCTAGGCGAGTGGATGGGAAAGGGCCCCTCGACCCCAGCCCTGGGATGCTATACCAGGGGAGTGTCCATTAGCCCCATCAGTGTGGCATTGCTGTGATACGCATGCTCTGGGAAGCGATGGGATAAGTCACCATGGGAGTGGTGGTGTGGCTCATTGTGATTCCTGCCAGGGGCTGGGCCATCGATACGGCCACAGGGGCCACAGATACAGCCACAGGAGCCATGGAGACAGGTGGGGGTGCCATTCCCTGGGCAATTGTTTGAGCCAGAGCTGCTGACAGTGGTGTGATCTCTGGGTTCAAGTGTGGGGGTGGGGGTGGTGGAGCAGCAGGAGGTGCAGCATTAGTTGGGGGAGCAGCTGGAGCTCCAGCGGGGGCCACCAGTTCTTGCTGAGACACGGGGCGAGGCTGTAAAGCCTGGCTGCTGAGAGTAGTGTGAGTCTGGGCAATGCCATGGTTAAAAGTGGCAACAGTGCCCACAGTAGGGGCCAGAGTCTGCTCAGTCGCTGGTGCAGTGGAGCTCAGGGTCATGACCTTGGCCTGATTTCGGAACTGGGCATTTTGTTCCAGGAGTACCTCATTGGTAGCCAGAAGGTTGCTGACCTGCTTCTTTAGCTCCTCTACCCGCTTCCTGAGCATGGCATTCTCCTCCTCTAGCAGTCTGCACTCCACCCCTCGGGGTGGAGCTAGGCTATAGTCATACGATTCAAAATGGGGGCCATCTGGGGGGCAGCATCCACCTCGCCGGCGCTTGGGGCCTGGCTCATGGTCCTCAAAGCCCCTGTCAGGGAGGTCGTAAATATCATAGAGGTCATGACGTCGTCCTGGGGGGACTGGGCCTGTTGAGCCCCCACCACCGGTGCCTCCTCCGCCCCGAGCATCAAACTCAAAGTCCCGTTGTAGGTGACGGAACTTGCACTTGGCTCCTCTTTGACAGTCACCCTTGAGAAAGTCCCGGCAGATAGGGACCTCCTCCTTGCCATTTGGTAGGTCAGCTGGAGAAAGGCCCAGGCCAGCTGCCACTTTCTGCCTCAGCCGAGGGGGAAGCTCTCCTGTCTTCTTATAGCCGTCCTCATCCTCCTTGGAGCCATGGATGAATCGGCAGTTTGGGCGACTACATTCCTTGTTCTGGAAGTCATGGCAGAAGATGAACTCATTTTTGCTTACCCCCAAGTTGGATACCTCACTCATGTCTGGGTGGCGATAGCGACAACGCTTGCCTCGCTTGCACACATTCCTCAGGAAGTCTCTACAGATGGCATCTGAGCTGGCCCCGCCACTGCCTGCCCCTGTCCCACTGGCCTCCTCGCTGCCACCGCTTCCAGGGCCTCCACCGCTGCTCCCAGTGCCGTTGGCATAGCTGTCCCGTTCAGGCATCCTGGTCCCTCCTAACTCAGGGCTTTCTTCCTTTTCTTGCCACCCTTGGTGACCACTAGGAAAGAGGAGAACTGTGTCAAACAGGAGTCTTCCAGAGAGGCCACACTCTTCTTAAGTATAGAGTAGGCAGTCTGGCAAGAGGCAGGACAGGGAGGCAATGGTTTTGGAGATGGAGAATCTCAGGGATGAGAATTCAGCCTGGACTGGCTGGCTTGTCATAAGTCCCGCCTAGGCCTTTGTGCACCTGGTCAGGGTCAGAATGATTCACACTTGCCTGGCTAATGGAGAAGGGAGGGAGCTCACTAATGATGACCGGCCAAGGAGGGGGCAGGGAGAGATAGTATTGGATTTTATTACTCCTATGAACTGACCTTATTAAAGTTGCGGAAGTGAAATTAAAACTGCTGTCGGTGTCTGAATAGTTTAGGAGAAGACTGGGAATCATGGCCAAGGTGGGCTGGGCTGGTGAGCTACTAGGACTGTGGATAATGAGATACTGGTGACAAAACTTCCCTTAAACCCTTTTCCACGGGATTTCAGGTGAGGGCTCTGTGAAGTATATTATCTCTAGACCCAGGAAATCCGGAGTGAAGAGACTTGTGTCACCAGCTTGAGGTCAGTCCCTAAACCTGTCATTTTTTTTAGTATTCTCTCCCAGCTCACCACCGCTATCAACCCCAATGTGGTCAGCCCCCTTTCCTCCATTTCAGGGGAAAAGTTCTACAGTTATAGAAGCTCCACTTATAGATTCCAAAGGACAAAACCATTTGTGACAAGGTCAAGGCGGGAGGAAGGAGTTAATTTCATAGGAACAAGTGACCTTACTTTGCCCATTCTATCCCCTCCTAACCCTCCATGGGAAGATACCATTGACATCAAACCACACCATTCACACCCCATAAAGATCCTCTTTATTTATAGACTCTATAAAAGCTTTTTAAGTCTCATCTTTCCCAAGAGAGCTCTGGAATGTCAGTCCACTGCCCTGGTTCTAGCCCTCCCCTCACCCCACCCCCCACAAGACTGTGAGTCCCTGCTACCACGTGTCTGACCTCCTAAGCTTTTCCTAGGCAGTGTTTAGGCTCCCCCTGCTGTTCAAATAGGAAAACTTCATATATTGTTTCCCCTTGAGTATAAGGAAATCTTTCCAATTTCCCTGGCCTTCACCTCCCCCCAACCATCCACCCCATTGCCTAGACGTTGCCTCCAGATCGCTCTAAAATGATCCAAATAGAGGCCAGAGTTACAAGACAAGCTGTAAAAGGAGAGGGGTTTTCTTCCTCCAAAGGGAGATAATCCCAGAATAATAGAATCAATCCAGGAAGAGTGGTAAATGATACAAACTTTTACTAAAAGGGGAATGAGCTGGTGAAAAATAAATGCCACTATCCAAGCCTGACCCACGTTGCAAGTCCCACCAGAGTAGATAATCAGATATGATACTCCTCCCACCCAACTCTCCCAGGATAGCTCAATACCTGAGGTAGCTCAGGTGAAGTCCGGGGCTCCTGTGGGTCTCCACCTCCACATCACTGCTGGGTTCTGAACAGGAAAAAAACAGAGACTTGGGTGGGAGAAAGGATAAGAATGGAGGACTATAGGGTGATTGTTACAAGAAAGACTGACAAAATGGCAAAAGCTCTGGGCACATCAAGATTTCCTCAGGGTTCCAACTGAGCTTCACCGGTCAAAGGGAGAAGTTGCGAGCAAGAAGAGTAAGGGGTAGAACTAATTTGGAGAGCCTAGGAGGATGGGTTGGAAGACCAGCTCTGAGTGAACAAAAGTGAGGGGAGCCCTGCCTCAAGTTGGAGGAGGATGTGGGGGTCAGAGCCCGACCTAGGGTTGGAGTTAGGAACTCCGAATGGGGAGCCGTGCAAGGACAGCAACTGACAGTGCGGCGGGATGACAGACTAGACTTGGAGGCGGTGATTATCAAGCTTCGCAACACCCCAGAGTTTGCGAAAAAAGTCCTAGGAGTTTCCCACAGCAAATCTAGTTTGGCAAGTTCTGTGCAGTGCCACAGAGCTCAGCAATGGGCCAGGTGAGTAGGACACCAAGGAAGTACGAAGTGAAACAGGGAGAGGGACTCCAGATGACATCAAGCTGAGGGGATGGGCAGGGCTGTGACGTCACGGAGCAGGCGTTTGCTCGCGAAGCGGGGTCAGTCAGAAAAAGGGCTCGGCCCTGGGGCACGAGGAAGAACCAGCTCGGTCCTGGGGGGCCTTGTGTAGCCCGGCCGAGCCCAGCCGCTGGGCCGGCCCCGACTCCTCCCCTCCGGGCGCGGCCTCCACCTAAGTCTCCCGCCTCCCTCACCTGCCGCCGCCGCCGTAGTTGCTGCTGCCGCCTGCCGGTCCTCTAGCTTCGACAAAGAACTGCCTACTCTGTAGCCCTTCCGCTTCCTGCGGAAGAAACGACGCTCTAGCCACCAGACCCGGAACTATACTCTATGGTGTGTGAAGTACTGGCGCAAGCCACAGGAAGTCCCAGCAAGCTTTGCGTGTCACCATGGTAACCCAACAGAACAGCATAGTGAAGGCCCCAAAAAGCGTAATTTAAGTAGGCCAAGACAGGGACGGAACCACGGTTTATCCCTAACCACCTCGACATCTGTCCCCAGGCGTCCATTACATCCTTTTCAGGATGGCCGACCCATACTTTTTACTTAACTCCCGAGGGCCGGGTACCCGATGTTGGCTAGGGGTGTAATAAACACTGCCCCCCCGCTCCCCCATGTAGCCTAACAAGGGCAGACAGGATCACCAGCCAATGGAACCATAAAAACCACAAAACACAAATTTTCTTCAGCTAACAGCAGATGATTTATTGTACACGTTACATTCAGCCACAACTAAGAACAAAACTTGTCCAGAATATCACAGGTCCAGAGCAAAGGACGGTTTTTGTACGAGAAAAGTGCGTCTCTCAAGATGGTCGTGGGGAACAGATGGCAATGTATGTTCTAGATCCATTGAGAAGTCCTAGACATTAGGCATGCAAGTCCAACAATTCGTTCCAGTGTCCCTGGCCTCTGGCTTTCCTCATTTCTGCTCCCGTGGCTTCCATGGGTGCACAAGCTAGCGGTTTACTTGGACCTCTGCCTCATCTTTCTTCTTTTGCGCTTCAGCCTGAAAAGCAGACACGGGAATACACTTCCTGCCCACTAGCCCGAGGTTCAGTCTTTCCCTCCCATCTTAAATATGCATACAACACGCAGGGTAATAAAACAATCATGTACTACATTCTACTGTCTTGTGTCCAATCCCTGGCTCTGACAACTCAATGCTCAAAACATTTTCCACCTTAAGTTCACCATATGTTCCTCCCAACTTTTGTCCCAAGGCACGCTCGCTCCACTTCCCTCCTCCCGTGCCAGCCAAGTTTCAACATACCTGCGCATTCGCTTCTTCCTCCACTGGCAACAGATCGTAACCAGAGGCAAGGAATAAGACAAAAGGTCATTAGTTTTAGAAACAGGATCAGAGATATGAAGAAAATTATTTAGAACCAGGCAAATTCTTGACCAAATATGAGGGTTTAGTCTCAGTAATTACATCAACAATTTGGCTTCCCAACCCAAGTAAACACCGAATCCCGCGCGCGCTCTTCCACTCCCCCACCCCCACTCTCCGCACAACATTTACCCAACCACCTCCGCTTCTCCCCACACTATCCTTCCTCTCCTATTAGGTCTTGGGTACCCTTGAGAATCCATCGGTTCAGGGAACCATGGCGGACTTCCCTTGCCTGGGTCTCCACCCCCAGCCATCCATTCGTGCAGCCTCAGCTCACTACCAGGCACTGCTTACCTTGGCTCTCATGGCGCGGAGGTATCTACGGGTAAAGAGAAAAAGGTTACAGTTAGTTTGCCGTAACGATGATAAGAGCAGAGACCAGATGTTAATGGATTGTACTCGAAATCCGCACACAAGCCACACACTCACCCAAGAAGATGACGCTAAGGCCGAGAGAGAGCTAAGCACCCGCCTACCGCCATTTAAGGGAGCACTCAGTGTCGTCACTTCCCTTGTCTCGCCCTACCTCCCCCCCAGGGGCGGGGCCGCCCAAGGGGAATAACAATGGTTTCCGGCCCTTCTCAGGTACCTGATAAGTGATTTAGTTTTCTTGGAAAGTGGTATTTTGAATTTGAGTTACAAGATTCCCCGTCCCGTTTTATTATGAGGACATTGTATTATTTAAACGTGAGCACCTATTTCCAGTATGGGACCTAGAGGGGCAGACAACTAAGATAACGACTTCCGTCTTCCCTCTCATTGCTTCTTGGGAGTTGCAGTTTCCTGGCGACACCCTCCATTTTATTATGAATGGGTGCAGGCTGCACAAAAATTTATTTTGCTGGTTTGCCTTATTTTCCAAACTAAATTGCTGCAGGGAGAGTCCAAAGGTCCTAAGGTTCCAGAACATGGAAGAATGTAAAGTTGGGGAGTTAAGTAAGCTGTCATACTACGAAAAAAAAAAAAGTATTTTAAAGTTTCCAACTGTGGTCTTTCCCCACAGTGCCTGAAGCATGTCACTAGGTTCCTGGCTAACAAATTTGGTGTTAAAGTTCCTAGTCTCAGGGTATAAACAGGTCAGAAGCACTTGGTAAACAAATAAGATACCCAAAGATTTGGTTACAATGAACAAGTTATGAAGAATGGAAAAGAATCCTTAACCACTGACTTCACCTTAATCACTTTGATACTTGTTTTTATAATCCCTCCTTTGTGGTGGTTTCCCTTTATACTTTATTCAGTAACATGTTACCTTTTAACTGTTAAAAGGTACCAGTTACCTTTTAAAAGTTACCTTTTACCTAAAAACAAGGTTTTTAAAACTTGGGGCCCTTGTTTCAAGTGCTTAAGAAGTTCTAGTATATTCACCATCAGACTATAACAAGTCTTTGAAAACCCTAGCAGAATTATTTTATATCAAGTCCCCCAGGATTTCACCTGTTGATTGCCCACTAGTCTATAAGCTCTTATGAAGAGTCCTGTGGTTTGTTCACTGTAGTATCTCCAGGTCAGCATCCCTCACCTGTACGGTGTAATCAATCTCAAATCTAAGAAACTACTCATCTCAGGCTGGCCCTGAAAAATTGCGTAACACTCAAGGTATTCTTCCTGGCTTCCTAAGTCAGGATAAACACTTGTATTTTTTTGCAGTATACATTAAATGTGCTAATCCTGAACAAATGGTCAGCAGCAAGGTTGATGTTTTTACTTTAGAAAATTAAATCAAATTCACATGGAAAATGTACTCTATTTTAATTCAGAGAACCCAGGATTTATGTTTTTGGGTTGGGAAGTACCTGTGTTTTTTTTTTTTTTTAGCTGAGCCATCCCGCCACCTGTTGGCAGCTCACGGCTGCTCAGCTCGGGCTGACTCGAACCACTGTTGCTCAGAGCTCAAACTCTTGAGCGAGCTCTTAACCAACTGAGCCACTCAGCCGGCCCTGGGAAGTACTTGTTTTAAAGGTAAAACATAAGGACAGAAAAACAGCTCCAAGTGATCATTTCAACTGACACTCCCCACCACTTCCATCAAATAAGAGTAGCAAAGGCACATGATTATGAGCAAATCCAAATTTATTTTAACACCATGTCATTTTCAATGTGTTTAAAAACCTCATAAGTTAGTGGGAGCTCTAGTTCCCTGGGACAGCATGCCAGAGGTACTGAAATTCGTCACCTTTCTCTCCAAACCCCTAGCAATTCATCCAATTCAAGTCCATAGCTTCAGAAAGCCAGGAGTTGTCTCTTCAGTCTGCTCCTCTGGTTCCTGGTCTTTCTTTCAAGGGAGGGAGGTCAAAATATTTCAAACAGGAACAAAACCACAGTTGAGGTTCCAGCTCAGGTTTGTAAGATGGAGCAAGGGAAGACCCCACTGACTCCAAAGAATTGGACAGGTTGAAATGGATTCCTCCTTTACAGCTTTGTGGGGAGAAGGGGGGAAGAGTCCTGCAGAACAAAAATGACTAAAAAGATTTACAAATGAGGATCCATTTCATAGACGAGAATCCCTTGATAAGTGCAGGCTCCAGCTCCTAAAAATGGGAGGGGCCTGACCAGACAGTCTGGATCAGAAAAGGAATCTGCCACATGTGAATAAAAACAATCTGAAGAACAGTTTCTATTTTGAGGCCAGATAAAGTACTTGGGGAGAGTGGCAAAAGAGAGGAACAAGTCCCAAAAGATGGAAAAACGCTGCCATCGGAGTGTATAAAAAAATTTCAGCTGAATATTTAGTGGTGGTGGCTACTTCAGCCTCCTCTTCCCTGTTCTACTGTAGGGCCATAAACCTTGACCAAGCAGAGAGTGGTAGAAAAAGGCTACAAAGAGGGGCTTGAAGACGATGGATTTTGACTCCTCATTTTATTATTCAATTTCTCTTTTCAATTTAAAGTAGTCTTCGGTGGCTGGGAAGCCTGGCCTCCCAAGACCAGTCAGTTGGAGCTGGTTGTTGTTGGAAGGGGGTTGGGTTAGGGGACTGGGATGGGGGCAGGGAGACCCCTGCTCTGCTGGTGGTCCTGGGTGGAGAAGACAACTGCACTTCAGAGCCTGGGGTGTGGTGGGAAGGGGATGAGGCAGGAGCAGCAAGCTGGGGAGATGGGACCCACCTCAGTCCCCAGCTTCATTCTCTTCTAATGTTTCCCCACTGGTGGCATTCTCTGCAGTCTTGGAAGCCTATATTCATGTAAAGAAGGAGACTTATTAGTTTCCAACACCTCGGGGTAGTGTCTGGGGGACCAAGGACAAAAATCCTAATTCTCTAGGTCAGGGCTGAGAAGGGGGAAAGGAAAATAAGGATATACAGAAATCTACACCCTACCACAACCCAGAGAAATGGAATAAAGAGGGATCACGTTTGCCCTGCCAAGGAGGGATGATCATAAGATACCTTCTTTTTTTTCTTTTTCTGGGTTTTCCGACTTGCAGAACTCTGGAGAAGGGCCTGGAAAATAGGAGGAAGGAAAACCAATTTTGAAAAATGTGGAGGAAATAATCTCACTCTCAATATTGTAGCTCTTTTCAGAACTTTGCTGACATTTAGTTCTCCTTCTCAGGACAGATGCCACATGCTCACAGCTTTCCATTCCACACTAACCTTTAGCTCTGCATCCTGGACCTCCATCTCAGACTTGTAAAGGTCAGGCTCAAAGGGACCACTGGTTATCCGCATGGGGCCATTGGGCATGAGCAGAACTGTAAATTTAAACTGGGCAACAAATTCACCTATGGGAGAGAGAAGTGTTTTAATAATATGTCCCTTGTCATACTCTTTTTTTGTAAGCTATGGTATAGGGAAGGAGAAGACCAAATAACCAGGGATGCCAAAGTGAAACTCTTTTTAGAACTCACCCTCCTTCTCATAGAGAACATTAAATGGTTGCAGCAGTTCATGTTTGGCACACTCCACCACACCCATCCGGGCCTTCTTCTCATCTTCAAATGCTCTGGGTAGGCGAGGACAAATACAGGTATCCTTAACTCCCTATCAAGTCTTACCATTTTGGTCACATTTTTATTTTTCCTTTTTTTATTTTTTAATCATTGCTCATGTTTTTAAACAGCTCCTACCCTCAGGCAGAAATCATGCATAGGATTACTTTTACCTTCCCTTCAATAAAAGGGAGATGGGGAGAATAAGAGAACGTGTGCATGCAGGCTGGAGCTACAAGTCTAGGCAGGAGGGGAGGAGGGAGGGATGGAGGAGGAAAAAAGGGTTCCTGGGTGTGTGGTCTATGAATCAGACTGATTCCAAGTCCTGTCTTTGTTAAGTGCAGTATACCTTAAAGTAAATGGCATGGCATCAAAACGCCTTTCGACCTCACTGAAGAAGGCACGTGAAGTTTTCATTTTCAGGCCATATTGTTTAGAAGGATCTCGTTTGTAAATGGTGGTTCTCTGTCCTGCATCCTTGGCCTAAAAGAGTAAGTTAGGTCACATTTGTTCCGGTGCTCTTGGAACACACTCCTCTTTGCTAGCTCTGGTAAACTCTCCTCACCTTGCCCTCTCCTGAGCTAACGAGAACATCCACAGCATATACTTCATGTACTTCAAATTCAGCTTTCTCATGGTCCTTCCTAAAATGAATAGAAAAGGAACCATAAAGAGCAATAAGTAGTTACTGGAGTTTGGAGCAGAAGGTGGCCGAGATTAGGCTGGGAGTATGGAAGAAAAAATTTATGACTAGTCTGATATAGTGGAAGGTGAAGGGTGGGATTGGCACCTACTTCTGCTGGTCTGTGGGATTCTGGATAATGGTTTTCTCTCCATCAATGACATGCTGCTTCAATTGGTGTGATAGCATACCTGTAGATAGGACAGAGCCTATGGTACCAGCCATCTAGAATCCCAAAAGGTTTCCAAACCCACCCACCTAAGTAGTTTGATGGGGCAGGAAACGAGAGAAAAGTTGCCTGGCTATGGAGACCCAGGACACTGAAGTTTTTGGCTTACAATGTGCTAGAGCCAGGAAGGATCCTCAAGGGAGGAAGAACCTTAATTCTGCTAAGTCACTTGTACTTAGATCCTCAACCCTGTTATCTGAGGTCTCACCTTCTATTGGCGTGCAATTAAATGAGTGGGCAACTTTGTTCCAGGCTTCTGTCACTTGTGTGTTCTAGAAGTACAAAATCAAAAGGTGAGATACCAGGAGCTAATAAGTTCTCTACCACGAGAATAAGAAGCATAAAAGACCTGAGAATTCTAATATGCTCCATCAAGTACAATGATTCTCACTGGTTTTTCAGATCATAGCTCTATCATCCCTACAACCTAAACAGACCTTACATTTGCATAGCCTTTTACAAAGTGCTTTCACAAAGATGGTCTAATTAGACAATTCTGGAATATGAGGAAACTGAGGCTCAGAAAGGTTAAATGATTTGCCCAGGGTTAAACCAGTTAACCAAAAGAAACTGGTATAAACCCAGGTTTCATGATGGTAAGTTTGGTGTTTATTCCATTATAGCTGGCATTCTAACCTGTTGAGAAGGGACAGCAAACTCTTATTTTCCCC